GTATAAAATACTAGTAAATGGGGACCATAGAATACCAAAAACACCATAACACTATATAAATATCATTCCTAATTAGGCTTTGCGTTCACTATTTTTTTTTATTTTGATAGAACAACAAAGAACGCAAAACCCTCCTTCGAAATAAAGGAAGACACTTTTCCGTAGAGGAATTAAAGAATGCAGTAAAAAGTATGAAGTGTTTTGCAAGAGTTGATTTGTCTGATTTGAGTTCATTTGGACCTTGGGCCATAATTGCAGTCTGCTGTGGTTATTCGACAACTAAGGCATCACTTAAATGTCTGCAAACCTGGTGCTACAGGAAAGGTGTATTGACCCCAAAGTCGCATGAAACAGAAGATAAGGGTTGTAAAAGAAAACAAAAGGAATATGAAGGCACTTTAAACGACAAAGTGGTAATATTAGAAGAAATTGAGTCAGAGACACATGATCAGTTATCAGAAGACACTAAGGTAAAAGAACAAATATCAAAAAGTACCAAATCAGACACTACAGACCAAACTGTTAGAGGAGACAATATTTCTTTAAGAAATGAAAAGACAGGACAGCATGACAAACAAGTGGATGCAAAGAAACGCAGGTTACATAATGGTGGAAAAGACAAAACCAAACCCGATCTCAATCAAAATGTTGACAGAAACAACATTGAAGATGAAAATAAAGAACACGCGGCTACTGAAAAAAACAGAAAGGAATATAAAGACACTTTAAATGAGAAAAGGGTAATATTAGAAGAAATTGAGTCAGAGACACATGATCAGTTATCAGAAGACACTGATGTAAAAGAACAAATATCAAAAAGTACCAAATCAGACACTACAGACCAAACTGTAAGCGGAGACAATGTTTCTTTAAGAAATGAAAAGACAGGACAGCATGACAAACAAGTGGATGCAAAGAAACGCAGGTTACATAATGGTGGAAAAGACAAAACCAAACCGAATCTCAATCAAAATGTTGACAGAAACAACATTGAAGATGAAAATAAAGAACACGCGTCTACTGAAAAAAGCAGAAAGGAATATGAAGGCACTTTAAAGGACAAAAGGGTAATATTAGAAGAAATTGAGTCAGAGACACCTGATCGGTTATCAGAAGACACTAATGTAAAAGAACAAATATCAAAAAGTACCAAATCAGACACTACAGACCAAACTGTAAGAGGAGACAATATATCTTTAAGAAATGAAAAGACAGGACAGCATGACAAACAAGTGGATGCAAAGAAACGCAGGTTACATAATGGTGGAAAAGACAAAACCAAACCGAGTCTCAATCCAAATGTTGACAGAAACAACATTGAAGATGAAAATAAAGAACACGCGGCTACTGAAAAAAGCAGAAAGGAATATGAAGGCACTTTAAATGACAAAAGGGTAATATTAGAAGAAATTGAGTCAGAGACACATGATCAGTTATCAGAAGACACTCATGTAAAAGAACAAATAACAAAAAGTACCAAATCAGACACTACAGACCAAACTGTAAGCGGAGACAATATTTCTTTAAGAAATAAAAAGACAGGACAGCATGACAAGCAAGTAGATGCAAAGAAACGCAGGTTACATAATGGTGGAAAAGACAAAAACAAACCCGATCTCAATCCAAATGTTGACAGAAACAACATTGAAGATGAAAATAAAGAACACGCGGCTAATGAATTAAGCAGAAAGGAATATGAAGGCACTTTAAAGGACAAAAGTGTACTATTAGAAGGAATTGAGTCAGAGACACATGATCAGTTATCAGAAGACACTAAGGTAAAAGAACAATTAACTAAAAGGACCAAATCAGACACTACAGACCAAACTGTAAGAGGAGACAATATTTCTTTAAGAAATAAAAAGACAGGACAGCATGACAAACAAGTGGATGCAAAGAAACGCAGGTTACATAATGGTGGAAAAGACAAAACCAAACCCGATCTCAATCAAAATGTTGACAGAAACAACATTGAAGATGAAAATAAAGAACACGCGGCTACTGAAAAAAGCAGAAAGGAATATGAAGGCACTTTAAATGACAAAAGGGTAATATTAGAAGAAATTGAATCAGAGACACATGATCAGTTATCAGAAGACACTCATGTAAAAGAACAAATAACAAAAAGTACCAAATCAGACACTACAGACCAAACTGTAAGCGGAGACAATATTTCTTTAAGAAATAAAAAGACAGGACAGCATGACAAGCAAGTAGATGCAAAGAAACGCAGGTTACATAATAGTGGAAAAGACAAAAACAAACCCGATCTCAATCCAAATGTTGACAGAAACAACATTGAAGATGAAAATAAAGAACACGCGGCTAATGAAAAAAGCAGAAAGGAATATGAAGGCACTTTAAAGGACAAAAGTGTACTATTAGAAGGAATTGAGTCAGAGACACATGATCAGTTATCAGAAGACACTTATGTAAAAGAACAATTAACAAAAAGGACCAAATCAGACACTACAGACCAAACTGTAAGCGGAGACAATATTTCTTTAAGAAATAAAAAGACAGGACAGCATGACAAGCAAGTAGATGCAAAGAAACGCAGGTTACATAATGGTGGAAAAGACAAAAACAAACCCGATCTCAATCCAAATGTTGACAGAAACAACATTGAAGATGAAAATAAAGAACACGCGGCTAATGAATTAAGCAGAAAGGAATATGAAGGCACTTTAAAGGACAAAAGTGTACTATTAGAAGGAATTGAGTCAGAGACACATGATCAGTTATCAGAAGACACTAAGGTAAAAGAACAATTAACTAAAAGGACCAAATCAGACACTACAGACCAAACTGTAAGAGGAGACAATATTTCTTTAAGAAATAAAAAGACAGGACAGCATGACAAACAAGTGGATGCAAAGAAACGCAGGTTACATAATGGTGGAAAAGACAAAACCAAACCCGATCTCAATCAAAATGTTGACAGAAACAACATTGAAGATGAAAATAAAGAACACGCGGCTACTGAAAAAAGCAGAAAGGAATATGAAGGCACTTTAAATGACAAAAGGGTAATATTAGAAGAAATTGAATCAGAGACACATGATCAGTTATCAGAAGACACTCATGTAAAAGAACAAATAACAAAAAGTACCAAATCAGACACTACAGACCAAACTGTAAGCGGAGACAATATTTCTTTAAGAAATAAAAAGACAGGACAGCATGACAAGCAAGTAGATGCAAAGAAACGCAGGTTACATAATAGTGGAAAAGACAAAAACAAACCCGATCTCAATCCAAATGTTGACAGAAACAACATTGAAGATGAAAATAAAGAACACGCGGCTAATGAAAAAAGCAGAAAGGAATATGAAGGCACTTTAAAGGACAAAAGTGTACTATTAGAAGGAATTGAGTCAGAGACACATGATCAGTTATCAGAAGACACTTATGTAAAAGAACAATTAACAAAAAGGACCAAATCAGACACTACAGACCAAACTGTAAGAGGAGACAATATTTCTTTAAGAAATAAAAAGACAGGACAGCATGACAAACAAGTGGATGCAAAGAAACGCAGGTTACATAATGGTGGAAAAGACAAAACCAAACCCGATCTCAATCAAAATGTTGACAGAAACAACATTGAAGATGAAAATAAAGAACACGCGGCTACTGAAAAAAGCAGAAAGGAATATAAAGGCACTTTAAATGACAAAAGGGTAATATTAGAAAAAATTGAGCCAGAGACACATGAAACTGATGAAGATCACTCAGATATTGCAGAAACCATTCCAGAAAGCATTTCAAAAAACCAAACAATTACACTTGAAACAACTGAATGTTCCCTTAGAATGAAACTACCAAATAAATATTTTGAGACAAACGTACCTAAAATCGATTATTTCTATATACCTGACCATCAATGGAATAAGTTGTGTAAAACGCAGAAAGGACGTTGTTTTTCCAGCGGATCATGGGAGCATCTTATATACGACGGCATAAGATTGACAAATCCATACTGTGTCTATATGTTTCAATGGCACAGAGTGTCAATTGCCAACAAAAGGAAGCCAAACAGATCGTCTCCATTATTCCGTGGTGAAGGCCTTTGCAGATTCACACACTGCAAAAATAAATGCACGTTTGCGATGACGCCTGATAAATTGGTCACTATAAAACTTGATTCGGAAGTTAAACATGATGTAACAGAGAGCCATGCGCGTCCTATCAGAGGAGTGCAGAGAAAAGAGGTACAGGAAAAGTTGCGCCATGGTCAAAAACCATATAAATTGTACTTATCCAATTTTAAAAATACTCCCAACGACGTCAAAGTTGCAGGAAATTTTTCAAGTTTCGGTAACTCAAAACATACTTTCCAACAGATTGCAACTGAATTGCATTATTCCAACAAATTAGATCAATCCGAATTCGAAAGCCAGTTAAAAATGTCGTGGAAAATGGAAGAAGATATATGCACAAAAAAACTGCCCGGTTTTGTCCGTCACATTTCGATACTCCCTCCATACGTTATGTACTGGTCAGAGACAGGAATCCGGATTTGGCACAACATGGCAAAACAAGACGTAGTATACTGGGATGCCACAGGGACAGTCATAAGCCCTAGAGGAGATGGAAACCAATTTTACTACTATGAACTGGCGTGCAGAAATCAAACACCAGGTGAATGTATTATTCCGGTTTCTAGTTTAATTTCCACTTTACACTCAACTCCACTCATCAGATTTTGGCTTTCTGAATTTAGACGATCAGAGAAAAAGATATTTGGTCATTCAAATTCTTCAGTGCCATACCAAATCACTAGTGATCGAAGTATGGCATTTATTCAGGCTGGTTAATCAGAATTTAACAATGAAGACATGGATGGTTTTCGAGCACGAGCTTGGCGCATCGAATCTGGCAATGCAAAACAAGACGACTTTGCAGGAACATTTCCACATGCATGCTTGTCACATGTTATGGCTTCATTTCGGAAAGTAGCTTTAGAATATTATAAGACCAATTTTGAATTTGGAATGTACTGTTTTAGCCTCATCCTGACTTCAGTCTCTTTGAAAGAAGCCAGTCAATCTTTGAAAGCAGTGTATTATGTATTGTCATCAAAAGTTTTAGACCAAAAGACTATCAAGCATATGAACGAAATAAATCTCAAAATTTCTAATTTTCCAATCGAAATTGAATCAATCGAAAACTGCTATGAGGACAGGTACACTAATGAAGATCAGTCCATATTTTCTGAAAACATCAATCCTGACCACCATACAGAGGAGGATTTCTTAAACCGATCTACTAGAAATGAATTTTCACACTGGTCTAAGGAAATTTTACAGAATGTTCATGAAGAAATAGACGAGTCAATCTTTGTAGAAGTTCAAGGAAACAAACGCTATTCTACAACAATTGCAGACAAAATTCAGAAGCTTTTCATGCCTACTTTTCCTTTATGGTCTAACTTGCTTCTAGGAGATTTGTCAAGACATGGAATGTCTGATGCCTACTCTTCTTTTAAGATCCCGAATAAAATAGAACGAGGAAATTCTGGTATTGAAAAGAGATTTCAGGTTTTGAAAGACATTGCATTTGATGGGAAAACAACAAAAAGATTAGACGAATTTTCGGCAAACTTACAGGAACATATCACCGCCGTTCAAGATGTTGCCATTCTTCAGACTGTGAAAAAAGGTGGCAAAAAAGTATCAAGAATTGGTCGAAGCAGTAAGACGATAGAGGAAATGTGGGATAAGAAGAAGACTCCTAGTACGAAAATCATAAAAGGGAAATATCAAAAAGCTCCGACTGAAAAAATATTACATATTACAAATACCAAACAGAAGAAAAAACAAATGGTTCAAAAGAGTTCAGTAGAAAAAGAAGATAGTGGAAAAGAACAAGATAAAGATAGATGTTCGTACACTAACAACATAAAACTAGACAAGAACATGAGGAAACTAAATAAGAAGACAGAAGTAAGAATAGATGCTGAAAGAAATGAATTAGAAATAGAAGACAGAGAGGTAGAATTCGTAAAAACTAGAATTACTGGCATCATGAACATTGGCAATTCCTGTTGGTTCAATGCTTTACTTGTGACGATGGGAACTGTAGATGCAGTAAAAATTGGACTGGACCACTATAATGAAGACCTCACATTTTGTCCTGGCCTAAGTGACGTCTTGAAAGTAATGAACAACAATCACCGTGGTAGAGAAGTTCAAGAAGTGGACATAGAGGATGCTTTAATTTCTTGCCAGAAAAAATATGGTCTAAATTGTACTCAACAGAACGATGCAGAAGAATTTCTAAGTACTGAAATTGCAGATCTGTTTGCAGCTGTAGGAAGTGATCATATGATAAAGGTTTGCAATTAATTGTTCATTTGTCTGTAGTTTTAAATTGAATTATTTTCATACTTTAGAAGAGAGGCGAAAGATATCAAAGGGACTTTCAAACTCATAGGTCGAAGATAAACTGACAGCGCCATGTATTTTGAACAATTTAAAAAAAACCAAAATGAACTTTTCATTAAGCAACAGTATACAAAATTTAACATAGAAAACTAATGACTGAACAACACGAACCCCACCAAAAACCTGGGTTGATCGCAGTTGCTCCGGAAGGGTAAGTCGAGTCTGCTCCATAGGTGGCACCCGTCGTCTTTCTAATGATAGTAAAAATCCGGTGATAAGTCTAATTCGGTAGGTCACATTCCAGAAAAGGATGACAGGATTGTGGATATGACAATTGAAACATATTCGTTGTGATCATACACAACTTATTATTTCCGACATGTATGCGACTCGTTAAACAACTGAATTAAAAAAAACTTAATAACCTTCTTGTTCTAATATGCAGTTTAATTTATATATATCAATTGAATGTTGTCCAAAAGATATGAGACGACTAGAGCCTTTGATTTATATTTTAAATGTGTGGCTTCGAACAGCCATGAAGGAAAGACAGAAATAATGAAATTAATTTTAACACATCAGTTCTTTGAGAAAACAATTTATACTTAGATTTGTTTTGTAGAAAACATTTAATCTGGATGTTTTGCAATATAAAAGCTTATCAAATTAGCAGAATTATTAGTTTATTAAATCAGGGGTTATTTCATTTAATTTTGGAAACATGTTTTTTGTTTTTGTTTTATCAGATACGTGAGGTTGTTACATGTGTTGACTGTGGAAATGTTGGTGTTCAAGAACAACAGTATCCAAGTTTGCAATTGTGTATACCAAAAGTTGCAAACGCATCGTTACAGGTAAGATTTAAATGCAATTTAGTCTTTTCTTTTTCTGCTGAGTGTTTTGTAAACAGACAAAGTTGCTACTTATTAAAACGCAACGTTGTCTATCCAAAATGCAACAGTGAATAATTGGTTTTAACTAATCTGCAAACTTCACATTGAAACTTGGATATACATGTACATGTACGTACTCTAATGGTATATTTTCATAACTGAAAACCCAGCAAAATAATTATATGAAAAACAAGGATTGCCAGTATGCTAATGACACCAAAAGGAATTAAACTAGGAAGAATACTGATTTTCTGCCAATAATGATGACATTAATTGCAAAAAATGCTGGAATTAGATATAAGAAGATGTGGTATGAGTGCCAATGAGACAACTCTCCATCCAAGTCACAATTTATAAAAGTACACCATTATAGGTCAAAGTACGGTCTTCAACACGGAGCCTTGGCTCACACCGAACAGCAAGCTATATGGAATAACCAGTTGTACAAATAATGTAATTTCAATATTCTTGTAACACAGTATGTTCCGATATATCTAACAATGCTTGTTGTCATGTATTTCTTGAACAGCAGTTTCAAGTAGAACGTAATTGATAAACTGACATCGATTAGAACCTTAACGTACCACATGTGATGGCGATCACAAAATTATGATGCATGTATTATGTCGCAAACAATATCAACAAATCAAGACAATAAAAAGTTACCCTTTCTATGAAATAGATAAAATTGAGAATGGAAATGGGGAATGTGTCAAAGAGACAACAACCCGACCATAGAGCAGACAACAGATACATGAATTACATATAGATACAAAAAAAAACTAGAAAACCCCATTTGAACAACAAAACACTTTCGCGTATTAAGTAACCAAAATATAGTCTCCATTCAGTCACTATTTATTGTAACTTTACAAATTGTGCATCTTTATACAAAGTCACTCGTCGTATTAAAGAATAAAACAATATTAAAAGTAACTTATTTATTGATATGATGAATTTTAATCAAGCAATATTTTGTCAAATTTTATACAACTGCAAAAATTAATAAAAAGAGCCAAACATTTATATTTTTAGTTCCTTCTGATAAGTATAACCACCATTTCAACAGTTTGAAAGTCATAACGGGGCTGTGGATTTAGAAACTAAATATATCCATATTATTAATAAAGTATTTGAAAAATGCCACTACATTTCCAAAACATATATGCATCATTATCATAAATTTAGACAAATTATTGTTAGCACCATCGTTGCCTATCTTAGGAATACAATGTCTTCATGTACACTTTGACACACAGAGAAAACATATTTATGCCCCCCACCGTAGCGAATGGGCATTAAGTTTTACCCTTGTCCGTCTGTACGACCTTACATCCGTCAGTCCGTCAGTTCGTACGTCCCGGAATTGGTTACCGTTCTCTAATTTCAGTTTGCCTCAGCCAAATGTTATGAAACTTATACACAGTGGTTTTTATTCAAAAACACAGATCGAGTTTGATTTTTACTTTTACAGTTCTAGAGTTATGTCCCTTTACAATTGGAAAAAAAAAATGCGGACTTTTTCGTCTCCGTTCTCTAACTAAAGTTTACCACAAAACACAAATCAAGTTTGAATTTCGTTGGCGTTACGTTTACCATTTTAGAGTTATGGCCCTTTACAAATAGGAAAATTCTAAATTTTTCATTCCCTGACTTATGTTTACCTCAACCAAACGTTATGAATCTTATACACCATGATAATTACCACAAAACACAGACCAAGTTTGAATTTTGGTATCTTTATTTTTACCGTTCTAGAGTTATGCCCTTTATAACATTATATGCAAGCGTGGGTATCACCTGTGTTCCATGGACACATTCCCCATTTATGTTATATTGAAGCAATATGAATATGGTTTATTAGATTAATGATAAAGATTGTAATTGTATCATTATTCGAATTTTGTTTTAATACACTCTAAAACAGAACATTATTTAATTTTAAATAGGAACTGATTGATCATCACTTTCGCGACGAAGAAATGGAAAATGCTCCTTGTGAACAATGTGGGGCCAAAAAAAGATTTAAAAAATGCGTGCCAGTTTACCTTCCTTCCACAATTGTTATATCTATCGAAAGATATCATTTCAATGAATTTGGCCGCCTTGTTAAGGACAGAACATGCATCAACACTGACCAACCTATTAGTTTCAAGAACATTGGAGGTTTAGTCACGGAATTATATGAGTTTCGTTCGGCTGTTCTACATCTTGGCCTTACTCCGACATCTGGACACTATACGTCTGTTATCAAAGCAGGTAAAAAATTTATAACTATCGATGATGAACTAATAAAAATAAATCAGAGACATTCTTTGAATACGGATGGTTATATTGTTGTTTTTAGATCTGCATGTATGACAGACACAGATGAGATCAAGGTAGCATGTACGTGTTTAGCCAATTCTGGTTGTTTGGAGTTACTTACTCTCCATATGGACAATTCACTATTTGTATCACCACAAAGACAACTTATTGTTGAAAGGCTCCATCATTTGAGAATGTCTGATTATTATACCCCAAATGATCCGGAACTGTTATTTCTGATTCGAAACATTCTTACATCGTCTGATGTTTACATCGTTACAACGCTACGCAACTACTTACTATTGATGTCGCCAGTTGAAAGAAAATCAATCTACGGACTTGGACTGATCAGGAAGTTTGTATGCCCAACATGTCAGATATCAGAAACATCACAACACCACGAAGCAGTAGTCAGTTCAAAAACAATTTGGGATACAGAGATGGGAACCGATCATGGAATGGCATGTCAACATTGTGGACGTATTCAGATGGTACAAGAGTGTGTTTCGTCCGTCGGTAGGACTGTTATAGTTGAAAAAAAAGGTGGAGATGAATGGCCTTTTCATAACATTGAATTAGATATCACAAAACAGATAAATAAGATCTATTGATACGAATCAGTTACTCTGAAATTGGTTGCATGTTATTCCCCAGAAAAATGCACAGCTGTTCTGTTATCAACTGAAGATTTTATCTATGTGGATAATTCCAGATGCGTAAAGCACCTATCAGCTACCCAGTTCGAACAGTTTGTGTCAGGAAGTGATATAATCGCCTTTTGTGACACGAAGAAGATACAGACAACGAGTGGTATCAACAAAGCTAATGGAAAATCATTTGCAGAAATGTTTAATTGGAAAGGAAACATACAGTTTTTCGATACAGCTATAGAAAAGCAGGATATCGATATCGTGGAAATGTTCCCAGACTGCATCGAATATAAAGGTTATAAATTAGATGAACTCGAAGTCAAAAGGTATTTGTCGGGATGGTTAAACGACGACCATATCAATCTGTATGCATCTGCAATTTTAACTGAAGACAAAGCAAACGACCTTCGTATCCTTCCGGCATCATGGTATCGGTTAAATCTTGATGTGGACACCTTCTCGGGTGAATGTGACAAGGTTATGACAGAAAAGACGGTTTTGATGCCGGTTAACATTGACAATAAACACTGGATTTTACTTGCGATTCTAGCTGATGAAAAGACAATCGTCTATATGGATCCTCTAGGTAATTTTGTCATCATAATTATAATGAAAAGTTCAATTGTATTTTGATGGAAAAAGAGAGAGGTAATGTAAGTTAGAACCATATCTCTTTCAAATTTATGAAAAATGAAACTTAGCATTTAATACAATTTTGTAATAAACAGCTGCGCCATGAGCGCATGATACGCCCGTCGTCTTGTGTGTGAATTTTTATGCAATAATCATAAATAGTTTCTGACATACGGCGCGATATGCGAAAACCCCCCCTTTTTTTACAAAAAACTCAATATCTCTAAAAGAAAATTTTGAATCAAAACCAAAAAGTATACAGATCTTTAGATTAACATAACTAAGACGTGTGTAAAGTTTTAAGCAATAATCATAAATTGTTTTTGAGATACGGCGCTACATGTGAAAAAAAAACACACACCTGTTTTAGTTACTAAGTCCCGTAACTCAAAAAGTTTTAATCGTATTTTCACCAAAAAGTATACAGATCGTTTGACCATCATGAGAAACAACTATGTAAAGTTTCATGAAATTTTGATAAGTCGTTCGCAAGTTACGGTGCGACATGTTTACGCCGGACAGACAGACAGACGGACAGACGACATTTGTATACCATAATACGTCCCGTCAAAATTTTGACGGGCGTATAAAAAGCACTTTAATATGAATATGAAATATGAATGGGATGGTATATTTGTGAAATTGGACATGTTACATTAGTCGTAGTCACAAAACCGTTCTATTCACCTATATTTGGTGATTATAAAATCATTGCATTTTCACTTGCAATAAGCAACACCATTGGTATTATAATAAGATATGGGACTGAAGATTTTCTAAGAAGACCAGTTCAAGAACGGTGTAGTGTTGTATGGATTTTTTTATCTCTTAGGTAATTTCTTCTTTTTTTTTCATTATTGTCTATTTTTCTTGAACTTGTGGTATTCGACCGTCTCTGTGGCATTTCCCCCTTTTTAACCAGTAATGGATTTACTGCCATGTTTATATCTTCAAAATACTGAACAGTATTATTGTTGTATTCAATTTATCATAAGATCAACAAAGCCAAATCCGACTAAAGTTCATTTACTAGGATTTTGCACTTATCTGGAAATAGGACCTAACAAGAACTATTAAAAATAATGATCTACTTGTAAGAAGTGACTATATACCCTTTATAGCAGAAAAAACGTATATGATACGTTTTATCTTCGACAAATGCAAGGACTGTTTTCAGGTCTGTCAGCCTGGAAATGTGTGTATGATAATTCGAAATCCGATAACCACATGTTTTAAGTGATTCATTATCAAAAATGAGTATCAGTATAGTAACAAGCAAATTTGAAAGTCTTACAAAAAAAGACAATATAACAGAAAAATTGAAGATTGCAGAAAAATATGTTACATTGAACAAGGGCACTTGTTTTCACATACATACACTAAATTTCGACACTTTTTTACAGTGTACAGTGAAAATTCAAATTCAAAATCAAAATTGTCTTTTAAGTTTGATTGGATAAGCATAGTTCATGTTCGCGTACCCATATTTTCTTGTCATAACCTCTAGCAAAGAAAGCAACATTGGTCATGACTGTGCATAAACTATAATTTGGGTAACCTAAAAAACCGAAATTATACTGCTGAAAAAACCTTGAAACGAAAAGAAAGCTTTCTTTCCCTTAAATAAACGTTTGATCCTTATTTAGTTATTCATATTTCGTGTAGATTAGTTTGTGCCTTGTGTGTTTTTTCGGGAAAAAAACTATAAACATTGTGTTGAATTTCAGCTGATTTTTATATCGTCTTGAAGGCCTATTAGCAGTCACTGGAAACGCCAATGACAAGACTAACGATACAAAAAAACCGGGTCGCAATTGAACAATTCCATGAAATATTTCATACTTTGTTTATTATATGATGATAACATCTCAAAGCAAGATTCGTACAAACCAAATTGCCATCTTAACTATTTACAGATACATTAAAGGCGTGCAGTCTGATTCACATAATTCAATTTTTTGTCTGTTGTTGTTTGACTAAAGCGAGACGGTTTTACTTAAAATCCAATCAGACTGCTAGCTATGTCAGCCACCAAGAAATTTGTTTTGCATGCACACGTATAAAAATTGCGGTTTTTATCCAACGCAATCATAGGTTTGAACGTTGTTTTCAATTTAGACTTATTTATATTTTTTCGTTTGGGCTTGTATTATATTTGCCTTCGGGTTTATATGATCCGTTCATCCTATTTAATTAAATACCGCAATTTTTATACGTGCGCATGCAAAACAAATTTCTTAAATGAAGGGTCTAAATACAGCACAAACAACATTTTCCAAAAGACCAAAAAAGTGAAAAAGTATATTCAAACAAAACGCATTTGACTAACAGGTCGAACAACGGATGTTCTTAAATCCTGCTGACTGCCATGGGGGGATTGCCAGATAAACGGATCACAAGATGTAACAAAATGGATCTTTATTATTAATTAAATACCAAACAGAAAACAATAAACTTGCGGAAAAGATGGTATACCGCAAACATGAGGTGCAAAACTTTGTACACCATATCCGGATTTCGACAATTAACGTCTCTTCAGTGATGTTAGGAATCGAAACGGTATCTGGAAGGCCATTTAATTTACCTCAATTTAGAATAGACTCTTGAATTTTGAAGAGTCGAAATAGGATGAACGGATCATATAAACCCGAAGGCAAATATAATACAAGCCCAAACGGAAAAATATAAATAAGTCTAAATTGAAAACAACGTTCAAACCTATGATTGCGTTGGATAAAAACCGCAATTTTTATACTTGTGTATGCAAAACCAATTTCTTGGTAGAGGGGTCTAAATATATATATATCCACAGCAAAAGAAGTATGAATAAAAGTTTCATAGATAATCAAAATTATAGGGAGAAGAATTGAGATCTGAGATTGAAGTACACATGAAAGTTTCATCAAATATTTTAGGGAGAAGAATTGAGATCTGAAATCGAAGAAAGACTAACAAAAGTCTTGAAGAAAATATCATTAAAAAAAAATGCCACTATTTTCTACCATCAGATTATTACAAAGTGCATCTTTTAGTCTTAATGACATTTATTTTACGCAAATTATAAATTTAAAGTATTTAAAATCCCAATTAAGGATACCAAGTTGTTTGTGTATTGAATGAGTTCCAAAGTGTATAGACTGAATTTTTGTTTAGCTAAAACAGATTAGAAATTATGGTTTATATGAATTTAAACCAGCAGTAATTTTGATAGACGACAACAGGAAACAATTAGAAAAAATTATTGAACTGATATATCAAAGTATGGTTTAATCGAAAAAAAAATCCTTTTGTTAGTTGACCGTGTTTTTCCTGTGTATTGAAATCAGAAAACATAACTGAAAATGTAAGAACATACAAAGGGGTAACAAATATATAAAGAAGTCTTTAATATGCATGGCATTAGATCATTTCATTTACTACTATCTTATTATACTCCTGCTGTTTAAAGCGGGATGTATACAGTGATCAGGGGAATCAATCCGCCTGTCTGTCCGTTTGTTCGTCCATCTTACCATTTTTTGTATCCGCAACTGATCCTGAATGGTTTGACAAAATTTTGTGAATCGTTTACAGTATCTTACACCCATGATGGACTTTGGCATCTTTTATTTAATTTTTTATTCAGAAAGATTTGTGTGGTTAACTTTGACATGACATGGACTTTGTCATATATATACAATATAGTACACATGTGTATCCTCTTCTCCTTCTAGAACTCTTATCATAGTATTTAATTACACTTTCTCAAAATCATCATCCTAAATGAGATTGTGAACCTCTTTTATTGTTTGTCCGAATTATTTTTGGGTTTCCCTTATCAATTCGTGGACTTTGATAGGGACGAATAACAATTTACTGACCTTTAATGGTACTACCTCTGGTTAATTCTTGATATAATATTGATTAATTGTCATGACTAAATGCAAGCTTGATAATTATCATTATACTATTTAGAATCGGAAAAATTGACTTGAGTAAAATCCGTTCATTTTTTGATAGATAAAATGTTCGTTTTTCTGACAAGAGCGCACGTACCAAAAGATGTTTCTTTACGAAAATTCTAGTTAAAACGGAACTTGCACTGTCATGACGTGTGCCTATAATGATATGAACAGTTTCTAATATGAAATAAATGCTGAAGTATAAAATGAGCCAAACAGAAAACAACAAAACAACTGCATGCAGAAGTAACACCAAAAATGTAAAAGTGAAAATGAGCACCCGATGAAAAGTGCAAAATGAGCAACCGCTGAAAAGTGCAAAATGCAGCGCCGCTTACTTTAAATTCGATGTTCCAATAAAACATCACCGAATCTTAAAGTAAGGGCAACGCAAATTGTTATTCTGAGAGATCTTATGATTCAACATGATACTTAGTATACATTTCTCATTCACAATTCGATAAATCAACAATAGTTACATTACAGTCATGCATTAGAATAATATAAATTAAAATGAATACGGTTTATAATCCATAACGATTATTTAACCATCTTATCAACAGAGAAAATGCATCGCCACTTTCCTTGAATTCATCGGAATCTATTGAAGATCAATGCATACCTATATTCTGAATAGAACAATGAATTACCAAAGTGTAAAATTCGTTTTAGTGTGTTGAGAATAAAACACAGTGAAACAACTTAATAATATCTCAAATTTAAATCTAAAGGTGCGTTGTTTTCCGATATTGAAGTTAACACTGCTTAATAATTATAGCTATACCTTTCCATCTTCAAATTTTATAATCATCAAACAGCTACACTTTTATCGTTTATATCATGATCATTATCGTGCTGATTATGAATGATAAAATTAAAGTCCGGTTTTATATATGTTTAATTATCTGTAGTAGGCGTTAGTTAACATTGCAGTGGACGTGTAACACTGTCAATAAAGTAAATAAGTTCCGCCCTATCCGCGTCATATCTCATAATTATACTTACT